GGCGGAACACACCTGTGGTCCCAGGAGATCACAGGTGTCCAGCACAGCCAGGTCCTTCACATGACTTCATGGCTCACTGGAGCCCCTCACTTGGTTATGGGGGTTGGAGAACTGTTCCTTGTGTCTTCTGCCTCAGCCAGCACCTCATAGTAGGATGGTTCCCCAACTTCCCAGCAGGCCTTGTCTATGCAGGAGGCTGCTGGCCCTGGGCACTGTGTCTTCCAGCTGTGGCCCATCAGGGTGAGGCATGGAAAGCCACACTCCCCACCTTGACTCCAGCCCTGTAAGCTCAGCAGGGCCTTGATGAGTCTACCGGGTCACACCTCTTGGCCTGTTCCTGCTGCACTGCCTCCGCTCATGGTGACCTAAGGACCAGCTCCTCCTGCAGAGATTCTGGAGCAGCTGTTCCAGACTCCCCTCTACCCATTGGAGGGAAGGGATGCATGAATATGCAAAGCTAATGCAGCCACAGAAGAGAGAAGCAGGTCGTGTGGCTGTTTGGCTCAGTTCAATACTGGGACCATATAAGCTGTGTGACCTTGGCCGAGTCACTTAGTCTCTCTGTGTTCCAGTTTTCTCCTTTACACATAGGAAGAATGAGAAAACCTGCCCTGGAGTTGCTGGGGGAATTCTATAAGACTGTAGCAGCAGATGCTGCCAGTCAAAGTCAGCTTCCTGCCATCCAGGGCCTGTGTCTCGCTATTTATGCCTTGTCCTGTGCCCTGCTTAGAACCTCATTGTCTTAGATGCAGCCTGATCTTTTTTTCTTCACACATTTAGCTCAGCTTATTCATTATTTCCTGCTGAGTAATTTACCATTGAAGACTACCGTGCCAGAGATGGAAAAAAGGTTAAGAGGCTGTGGGCTGGCACCTGGGCAGACACAGGTTTAGTTGGAGGGAACAGGTTGTGTAGAAAAATGGCTCTTACAAACTCAAAGACACTGGGACTACATAGAGGCCCCTGACCTTAACCTGATGAATGCATCGCAGTAGCCGCAACAGGAGTCAAGTCACAGTTCACCTTTGGGCACCTTCCTACTGGGAAATCACCTCAGGGTGGAAAAATGGGGCACAGGGTGGTGGTTGTGCCTGTCTGTTTCAGCCTCCTCTCTCCCCTTTATTCAAAGTACCTATGAGCCTGGTGGGCAATTAACGTTGCCTGAGACAAAGGGAAGGGGAAGATAAAAGATAATCTACCAGCAGCCCAGCCTCACTCCCAGGCAGTCCAGCAGGGGAGAGGACAAACTGGCATTTGACATACTGCAAAGTATGCAACATAGTGCACACTGTTGTCACACGCATGCCTTCTGCTGGGGGCTGGTGCCACTGAGCAGAGCTTCATCTCCTGTCAGCGCAGAGCACAACACCGATGCAGTTCACAGGTTTTGTCCACTCTTGCTCTCATGTGTTGTGTGCCTGGTTGGGTTCAAGTATCCAGGTTTAGGGCAACAAAGGGGGCAGCTGGGCCTGAGCCCTGGTCCCTGTGCAGGAAAACCCAGGCTCTCTTCGCAGACAGAAACACCAAAACAACACCTAGCTTTTGGAGGCAGATTTATTTACATGGATGGGCATGGATGGGGATCATTCCCGGAATATCAGGCCCTGATCTCTTGTGGTCTAGGGCTTATATGGGATAAGCAAGCAGGAAGTACAGAGTCAGAATGGTTGTCAATTGAGGATTGGTCCTTACCAGCTAGGCATTATAATACCAGCCCTTTCTAAGAACCAAAAGTGACAGGAACTGGAACTGGAACTATTACCTGAGCAACTAACAATCTGGGGTATACTGGCAGGGGTGGGGTGGGGGAGAGAGATCTTCTGCTGCAGGATGGCACACATCTCTGTCTCCTCTACCTTCTAGAGGCCTCTCTCATTCCACAGGAAGTACAGAGCCCCTGTACGAATGTACACACAGCCCCAGTCGCATTCTCCCTCTTCAAAGCTGCTACATAGTAGGAGGCCAGAGATCAGGGCATAGCAAAGAGGTTGGGCAAGTGGATGTGACCTGGTTGTCAACCAGGGAGATCCAGGATCCAAGCCCAGAACATAGTTCCCAAGCCCTACTCCTGGGGCCAACAGAAAGTACTACCTTCAGTTCTACCTGCACAAAATCAAGCAGGTTTTTGATAGAATGGCCTAGATCTAACATCAGCCTGAAGGAGAAAGGCTACAAAAGACATTTGCAACTACCTGTGGCCACTGTGAAGTCTCAATTGTCCACTTCCTCTCTGCAGAGCGTATTTTTTTCCCCTACCTTTA